GAGGCGGCTATAATTAATTTGGATAATCTAGATGGTTCTGGAACGCATTGGGTTGCGTATAAAAAGTGGGGCAAGTCTGTAAACTATTACGATAGCTTTGGTGACTTACCTCCACCATTGGAGTTAATACAATACCTTCGAAGAGGTGGGGTTCTCCTTGAAAACATCCGCTATAACTATGAATGCCACCAAAAATTTGATACAGTGTGGTGTGGGCATTTATGTTTGAAGTTTCTATGAACAACTACCGAATAAAAGGAGTGGCGTTAGCATTAAAAATGGATCGTGAAGAAATAAAGCGAATGGGGCACTCACTCATAGCCTTTTCAAGATTACAAAGTCTAACCAAAATGAGTCGTCACCAACTTGCTGACATGCCTAAAGAAGTCATGATTGCATGCGCCGCATATGAAATTGCATTAGTGCATTCGAAATGCTTCGAAATGTTCGTTCGGAAGTGGTATGTATGGAAGGGAAGGGATTCTTTCATTCATTGATATTTTGTCTTATTTTTTAAATGATGATTTTATTGTCATATCCAAACCAAAATTTAAAAAGTCGTATGCGAGGTATCACAACATAGAGTGCCATTTAAAGACCAAGACACCAAAACTTACGCCCTCATGTGTCCCCCTTGAAAAGAAAATCGACGTGTCCTAGGTTTTTTGTTTTTTTTTTAATTCCGATATTTTCCAGGTGGGAAGTTTTAATTGGAACAGCCTGTATAGTAATTTCAATATGTTTTTAGGTACATAACTTTGTCAAAATACCTGTTTTCTATTTATCTGTGGTTTTAAATATTCCTATAACATAAGTTTACTTAATTTTATATATAAAATTAATTACTTTTATTTGTACCTACGCGTGGGAAAATATTTATTCAGATATGAGCAACATAGGTGAACTTTAAAAGCATGTTTTAAAAATTATTACTTTATTTGAGCAACATTTAAATGATAATAAATAAACATTAAAAATTTTATTTTTGTTTTTACGTTTGTTCTGCATATTCAGTTTTTGAAATTTATGGTACTTAAAGATATCAGTAATAGTATATCGTTTCCGCGGCACAACCTCATAACGTGCTACCGGTACTGCATTTTTACTTCACACCGCGTTTCTAATCGCAACATGTTGCGGTTGGGAGGCGTGACGCAGAATTAAGCAGCCTGTTTAGGGGACAACGGGGGAATTGGCCCCCTTCTAAGGCAATATGTCCATAAAGAATGTTTTTTTTTTATCAGATATTGCGCTCACAATTGTAGAGCTGAATCGTATATGCATGAGGCATTTTATCTATCAAGCAAAAGTATTTTTGACAAACCAGTTTTGACAAAAAGAATATATTTTTAAGTACTGCTCAGGCGCAGGCTTGGGGGAAATGACGCGGAGGATTTTAATAAACATGAGAAACTCAAAATCGTTTTATAAACACTTAATCAAATATTATGGACTTATTAAAGGTATTTTACTTTATGGTTTCTTTTTATATACATTTACACATTTATCGCAGGTATAATTAACGACCGCTACATTCTGAGTAAGTTCAATTGGCACACAGCGGTACCAAATTTTATGGTTGCTTCCAAATTCATCACAAACCGTATTTCCACCTTCAGTCGCGTCTACGTTATTAATTTCGTAATTGATTTTCATCGTAACTTTCAGAATCTGACGTATCCCAATGTAAAATCCTTACAAAAGCAGGTTTCCTCCGTGGTCGTTTCTTTGATTTGGCAAGAGGTTTCTCTGCGTTCTTTCGCTTTATATTCTTTGTCTCAAGTTTCTTCAATTTTTCATTGTGTTGTTTGTGTTACCTATTCTCTTCTTTTATCTGTAACTGTGTTTTTAAAGGCGTGGACGTAAAAATGTCAGAATGTTGATTTCCACGCGATGTAGTTATAATTAAGGCACTGCATTTCAGTTTGAAAGCAGGGCGTCCGCACGTGGATTACCTAGTGCGTTTATAATAAATAATTTGATAATATTGTGGAATGCTTACCCGGTTACGTATTAAAAATCTGGATGAGCTCTGGCAAATATCTGGATCATTACATATATCTCCACAGTAGATTCTTTAAGCGATATCCGCAACGGAGAAAACATATTCTTATACTGGGTGTTTCAAAAAACGTTCCGCTAATTTCTAGGGTAAATAGAATATTAATAATAATTTGGTTAATAAACATGAGTCCGAAAATGCTTCCTTCAGAAGATACGGCTCTGTAAAAGGGGGCCCAAAAATTCTTTTTTTTTTTAATTATCTCTGAGACGGTTTATGATAGCTAAATGAATTTTAGACCACAAATAGGTTTGATTAGGTCTTGAAAGTTACTGCTGACAAACTTTTAATATTTTGTACAGGACAGTTCCTGGAGGGGGGTGCCACTTATTTTGCCCCCAAACTTTCTTTTACGGGAACATTTTTAATATTTTGGAAAAAATAATATTTTTTTAACAATTTGCCATAAAAAAGGTACTCTTGCTTAAAGTCAAAAAAATTACCGGTTCGACATCTAATGACGATGCATATTTGAAGTAATCTCTAAAAGCAGTTAATGAATCCGTGGGGGGGGGCCTATTGCTACGGAGGTGTCTTAATCTGAAGAAATCTGAAATTTTTTCTTAACACGCTTGCCTCTGACGCAAACATTTTTCTCGTTACTTAAGGCATATAGCACTGTTTGTATGTCATATACGAATTGTTTCTGCTGCAAGATATAATGCGTGCAGAAACAGTTGTTTGTTAGTACATAATTTCGACATACCTATGTATTTATTTTTTTTAAGACACAGAAAAAATCTTGTTGCTAAAGAAAGAATAAAAAACATATATCTGATACGCTGCCACGTGACTGGATACTACCTACCTACTGCTGTCGCTAGAATGCCGATTATTGCCGATTCCGGTTTTATTTGTTGTTCCTAGCGGCGCGGCGTACCTACCCAGCCGTACGTTAGTGGAAACGAACTAAAAATGCCGTGCCTTAGTTATAATTGGTTCTGGAAGCGGGGCTAACTTTTCAATAGAAAATTTAGACAAGGACTGACGATCTGAGAGTGAACTTCGGTGTTCTTAAACATTGTTGGAGGTTGAGATGCCTTAGTTATAATTGGTTCTGGAAGCGAGGGTAACTTTTCAATAGAAATTTTAGACAAGCACTGATGATCTGAGAGTGATACTTCGGTGTTCTTAAATATTGTTGGAGGTTCAGGTGCCTGATGCCTAGGGATGGAAGGGCTCTTTGGCCTAAATTCTAGATGTCCTTTAATGTTGTGTTCATTCACAAATTCTGAATCATTTAAGTTAATTGGCATTTGGATATCTGAAATTTCACTTCCATGTGTTGGACTAAAATCGTCTTCACAAAATCTATTGGGGTCATATCCCAGCAGCACGGAATTCTGATATTCCTTTCTCCATTGTGGCGGTCCTCATATATGTTCTATTAAAAATGGAAGCAAGTTCATAATGCGTGATCTTTTCGTAACGTGACCTCTAAGATACAAATCGCACTCACGGTTGAATATATTTTTTAAAGGGCCAAAAAAAGTTAAGTCGAGCGGTTATAGCCTGTGCGAAGTGTGAGGAGGCAATGAAACCATAACAATTTCGTGTAATCTGCAAAATGTGTAAATATTCAAAGAAATGTGACTTCCATGGATGTCAAGTATAAGATGAGCTGGGTCATCTTTTGCTGCCTTCACACATTATTGAAAGTATTTGATCCAATCGAAAAACTACTCTTCATTTATTCAGTCATTCTTGGAACATCTGTATATGGCCTGAATCGGTCAATCTCTTGACAATTGAAGATTCATACGTGCTCTTGGGTAAATAAACATGGAGGGAACAAACTGGCCAGATGCGCTGACATTTTTCCCTCGTTCACAAGATATTACCAAGTCTACTTATTTTTCTCCCCTTGGCGCCAAAATTTTTGTTGGCTTCTGTACTGTAGAGATACCCGTTTCATCGAGTATTAAATATTCGACTTTCAGTAAACTTGTCTTTTTCCATAACTTTAATGAGATTATAAAATCGATCAACTTCTGTTTTATTAAAAGCAGCACTGCGATTTAAACTTGTACCTTCGAGTTTTCTTAGACTGATTTCTGGATGACGCTTTAGAAACAACTCGAGCCAATCCTTGTTAGCTAGCTGTTTGTCTTTGTCAAACCGATTATTAATTTTATTAGCTTCAGCAAAATCGTAAGCCAAACGCTGCAGTTCATAAGGTGTTATTCCATAAAATACATTGGACAATTTTATAATGTGATTGGCTATGGCAGTTTTCCTGTTCGACATTAAAAACGGACTTTCTTCCTAACCTTGTGATGTTGTTGTCATTAGCTTTTAACTTGACACGTAGAGTAGATTCTGGAATAACAAAACATCGCCCTACTTCTCGTACAGCTCGGCCAGATGCCACGGCGACGATGGCAGCTTTTAACTGATCTTCCGTCCATTTACTCTTTTCGGTTTTTTTACATAAGTACGAGGCATTTTTATTACTAAAAGAGAAAACACAAATAAATAATGGATATTTTAACTTAACAGCACACCTGCGCGGAATTCCCCCAACGCGTGTCATCGGACATAACCTAAGTTGAAACTATGCCGGTATGTATAATCAAATGATTGCATAAACAACTTTAAGCTTTGCTTTGCATAAATATTTGTACAAAAAATATTATTTGAAATTAACAACTACAATACACTTACTGTTTTTCGTCGGTTATACCAAAATTACATCGAAAACGTTTAATCTGCCTTAATGCCTTAATATCTCTAACATATTAGGTCACTAATTAGGCAACATTAGGCAATATTTGCAAAAAAACTTAACTAATTCTTGTGGTATAAGGCTTTATTTCGGTACTAACATTTTTGAATTTATGGTATCTCAAAATACCCAAAATGTTTATCATTAAAATAAATGTTAAATGTTGAATTACAGAGCAAAAAATAAAATATTTTAATAAATTGTACAATAAATAAATATATTAATTTCCTTAAAGTTTTTATTTTCTTTTTTGTGTAAGTCGATAAACAGAATATTTTTCATTTTCCTCGAATATATATCGGTATACAAAAGCAGCGCTTATAGCTCCAAGAAAAGGTCCTACGTGGAATATCTAAAAAAAAAAAACAAATTAATGCGAATACAAAAAATATATTATATACTTTTTATAGTTTAAGGTCAATATTATATATATGTACATATATTTTTTATTGTATTTGGAGATATTGGAAAAGTTATTTATATGTATATAATTTCTTTTCATGTTTCTCTTTCTCTTTTAATCAGTACAGTATTATACCAACAGTATTGTTTTATTTTATATTGTACGGCTACTACTTACTTACTGCATTTTGCCTCTTGAATTTTATGTTTTTAACTTTACTCTTATGCCAATAATAATAATTAATATTAATTATTTAATATATCTCTCTTCAATATTAAAAGAGATATGACCAAAAGAATACGTCATAAGCGTAGTAGACAAAGATTTCATTTCACCTATTCGTTGATTACTTTCATTCTAACACATCATATACAAGGTATTTCATAAGTAAAACTAGTAGAAATATCATTGCTCGTATAATTCAATGCTTGTTAGAGCACGTAGTCACTACAGCAGTTGTTTCCCGCAATAGTCTTGTTTGTGTATGAGGATAGATATCTTTTGCATAGGTACCTACCTAGATTTTTGAGAACTGAGAAAAGAGAGAAGAAACTTAGAAACTTAGAAAAGTTGAGAAACTTTTTTTGTATTTTATTTTAAATACATTAATAATTTCAAATAAAATAAAAAATAAGAAAGCTAATAGTAAAACATATATTTTTAAAAAAGCTCCATTAAATTCTGAAAAAAATTGTAGGTAGGTTTTGTACTCAATATTTCTGACTTTTATTACGTATAAGTAGGTATATTATTATTATTAAAATGGATTTGACGCACCCTGTATTAATAATTTTATATACATCTTTTTAATTTCAGGATAAAAAAAGTTGCCTGATATAAATTTCTTTATGAACAAATGAGTATGAAAATACATTGAAATACATTATTTCTATTCCTCTACATTACTCCTGTGAGCTGTGTGAATTAATAGTTTATTACATTTATGGATGGATAAATTCTATCAGCAGGATAACGCTTGAAGTAAAAAATAGGTTTTATAAGTTTTATGGTGTTAACGCAATAAAATTAAATCAAAACGTGAAAATGGATACAATAACAAATCTAATAACATGTTGTTAAAATTATATCTGCTCAGTCAAATGTTTTATCTCTGATAACTTAATTGTTTCAAATAATTCGACCGTTATGTCTGCTCTTGTTACACTCTGATACTTTTTATTTTTAAGTAATATACTAATATTATTATTAAGTATTACTTTAATGTATTTGTAATGCTTCGTAATTTCGTTTTTACAGCTAATGAAAAATTAAAATTTTTTTGTTAATAGAAATTCGAAATGTTTGATATTCCATGAAAGGGAATTTTATAATTGTAATACAAATAAAAGAATTTTGATTTTAAGGAAAACATCGGAAAGGAATTTTAATTTATGATCAATATTCCTTTTTCACTCTACAAAATATGATGTACTGGATAGACCAAAATTCACGCAATTTTTGAATGTTACGCCATATATGCGGTAAAGTGTTACCAATAAAAAAAAGACATCGTGATAGCTGACAGTTCAGGGTTATTAAAACTGGTGCCTTGCACACGAAAGAACAACGCGTTTTCAGTGTTGAGCAATGTTTTAAATATAATGAATGTTTGGTAGCTACAGTTCGCAATTTTCGTACATAGTCGGAATATTGATTTAACTTCATCAATTGTGAGGAGATTAATTGAAAAATTCAGGGAGAAAGGATCTTAAACACTCTGGCCGACCTTCAGCAAGTCGTTCAACACAAAACATTGAAGCAGTTCGTTAGAGTGTTGCTCAGATTCCAAGAATATCAATTCGGCACCGTGGTCAAGAATTGGACATTTCGAGAAGCGTATTCTCATGAGATGCTTGAATCTTCATGCTTACAAAGTTCAATTAACTCAAGAACTGAAGCCTACTGACGACGCAGAGCGAAGAGAATTCGTTGAATGGATTATGGACAAATTCATCTTAAGTGATGAGGCTTATTTTCATCTTGATGGCTTCGTTAATCGACAAACTTGTCGCATTCGGAATTGGACGTTTCGAGAAGTTCTTTATGACGTATTCTAACCAAAGATTTACATCTGCATGTTTATAACGTTCATTTGACTCAAGAACTGATGCGTACTGACTATGAAGAGCGAAGAGAATTCGTTGAATGGATTAGGGAACAAGTGGATGCTGATTTTTCGAACAAAATCATCTTCAGTGATGAGGCTCATTTTCATCTTGATGGCTTTTTTAATCGAAAAATTGTTACATTTGAGGTACACAAAATCCACGAATGATAGTTGAGAAACAAATGCATCCAACGTGTCACTGTTTGGTACGGATTTTGGGCTGGAGGCATCATCGGACCATTCTTCTTCGAAAATGCGGCTAGTCAGAAAATAACAATTAATGGTGCTTGCTATCACACGTGATAATCCAGTTTTTTTTTGCGTAAATTGCAAGATATGGATATAGATGACACGTGGTTTCAACAAGACGGTGCCATATGTATTACAGGCCCAGAAACAATTCAATTACTGCATGAGTCGTTTTCTGGTCATATAATTTCCCGTTTCGGTGATCAGAATTAGGCGCTCAGATCATGCGGCTTAACGCCGTTGGATTTTTTTCTCTAGGATTTTTTTAAGTCTAAGGTCAGCAAGCCCACGTCTTTAAGGGCGCCATATTCTTTAAATAGTGTTTTCCACAAAGACAAATAATTTCAAACATTTAATAACTGAATAATCTAAAGCCTATCAAATAATAGGAATGTTATGCCATGACATCTGGGTATTTTCAAAGACGCCGCAGTAAAACGAATAAACAAGTGCAAAAAACGATCAAACCATCAAGGTCTTAGGTACTGAAATCTACGAAAATACTAACTTTTTTATATACAACTCCACATGTAAATATTGTTATAACATTTATTTAGTCCTACATATAAAATTGTTAACTCTTATTTATAAGTACGTGAAAATAATTCTTAAAATGTCAGGTTAGGGTAACAGCAAACGCATGTTTTTACAAACGCCTTTTTTAGTTATTATTTTATTTGAGTAAATTTAAATAGTAACAATGAATAAACAGAACATCAATGATTTTATTTCTGTGCTTACTTTTGTTCTACACGTTTTACTTTTCAAGATTTCAGTACCTAAAAACGCCAGAAATTTGACTATTTCTCGGCCAGGGATATGGCCACCTTAAGGAGGCCATTTACTCGATATGCTATTGCATACATACTATTCTAAACTGTATGCTTTATGAATCAATATAATTTACAATTTTTAATTAAATACCTGTCTTTTCTATCAAAATTACTTCTTGGGTGAATTTTGGGACACCCTTTATTATTTTATAGTTTTTAAAATTTTACAATAATTATTTTTGACCTACCTATTAGACGAGGCAATGAAGCACTAAAAAGGCCAAAAGTTCGGAATTTTTTTGCACTAAGACGGATCGAAATGCGGTTTTTTGCATTCGCTTCCAAAAATTGTTTGTAAAAAATGTATCTACTTTGTATCTTATACAAACCGGAAATTGCATTGCTGCAGCCAAAAATGCATTCAAAAAATGCATTTTTTGAGACGGCTTTTGGAAGATTTAATAACTTTGTAAATTAGAGTCAGAACTGGTCCAAATCGGGTTCCCGGGGGTTTTCGAGGTTAAGATGTTCAAATTGACTCACAGCCGACCTGGAGCTCAGTAACGCCGATGAACGTCATCTCCATGGGACTCTCTTGGGAGAGTGAATTTTGGAATTCACGCGGGGAAGGAGAGAAACTCGGCGCCCGAGGGTTTCTTGGGTCACTGAATTCAAATATGGCATCGGCAAACACCTGGTGCACCGGAACCTGAACGTGGACGTCATCTCCGAGAGTTTCCCTGACAAGATTGCCAAAAACAACCCGAAAATCATTGTGGTGGCGTTTTTTGGGGCGCTTAATCCAAATTTCACATCGAAAGCGACCCCCTGAACACCTGGTGCACCGGAACCTGGACGCAGACCTCATCTCCGAGGGTTTTCCTCACACAATCGAAAAAGACGAACCGAAAATCGTTATGGGGTTTTTTTTGGGGCGCTGAATCCGAATTTCACGTCGAGAACGACCCCTCGAACACCTGGTGCACCGGAACCTGGCCCTGAACGTCGTCTCCGAGGGTTTTCTAGACACGGTCGGAAAAGACAAACCGAAAATCGTTATTGGGGTTTCTTGGGGCGCTGAATCCAAATTTCACCCCGAGAACGTACCTCCGGACACCTGGTGCACCGGAACCTCGGTCTAAACGTCATCTCCGAGGGTTTTTCTCATGTGTCAAATTATGAGCCATTTTCGGATATTTTTTTGCGATCGTGTCTGGAAAACCCTCGGAGACGACGTTCAGGCCGAGGTTCCGGTGCACCAGGTGTCCGGAGGTACGTTTTCGGGGTAAAATTTGGATTCAGCGCCCCAAAAAACGCCCATAACGATTTTCGGTTGTCTTTAACGATCGTGTCTGGAAAGCCCTCGGAAACGACGTTCAGGACAAGGTTCCGGTGCACTAGGTGTTCGGGGGATCGTTTTATACGTGAAATTTGGATTAAGCGCCCCAAAAAACGCCCCCACAATGATTTTCGGGTTGTTTTTGGCAATCTTGTCAGGAAAATTCTCGGAGATGACGTCCACGTCCAGGTTCCGGTGCAGCAGGTGTTTGCCGATGCCATATTTGAATTCAGCGACCCAAAAAACCCCCGGGCGCCAAGTTTCTCTCCTTCCCCGCGTGAATTTTGAGAGAGTCCCACGGAGATGACGTTCATCGGCGTTCCTGAGCTCCAGGTNAAACGCCCATAACGATTTTCGGTTGTCTTTAACGATCGTGTCTGGAAAGCCCTCGGAAACGACGTTCAGGACAAGGTTCCGGTGCACTAGGTGTTCGGGGGATCGTTTTATACGTGAAATTTGGATTAAGCGCCCCAAAAAACGC